TCGTCAGGTTCGAGTCCGGTTCAAGCTCGAACCGAACCAGACTCGAACCGAACCAGACTTTTTTTCGGAACCCTACTGAGAAAGTTTTTCTAATTGGAAAGTAAGTTAATTAATTTTTTAAAAAAACTTTTCTCAAATTAATATAAAAGTTTCAATTTTACTAATTAAAATTTTTTATTTTTATACAAAAATACAAATAACAATCCATATTTTAATATATATTTTTTATATTTAATCTGAAAAAGTTTTTCTAATTGCAAAACAAATTTATTAATTTTTTATAAAATTTCTCAGATTGAATATAAAAAATCTGAAAAAAATATATGTTAAAATATGGATTAACATTAAATAATATCTTTTGAATCTGCGTTTTATCAAAACCATTTGTATGAAATAATATTGGAAATTTGAAATCAGTGTCTTTGATAACAATTTAAAAGTTTGGAAAATCGGCAAAGTAGTACAATAACGATAAGAAGTTAAACATGACGACATCGACTTTTCACGAAAAAACATAAATAGCATCCTGTTACATGTATAACGAAGTTTATAATTGTTTCCCAATATATCCTAACTATAATTTATAATTCAATATTTATTTGGTTTCAGATGACCTTATGTATCACGTAATTGTGTATTATGACGGTAGTTACATGTCATTAAGTCCTTGGCTTTCATAGAAAATAATCGTATAACCCTTAACGAATTATCTATGTTAAGTGAAAAAAATGACTTGTTCGAGTGAAGATTTTGAATTCCTTCAATCACCAAGTGTGCAGAATATGCAGAAAAGCTTTCTTTCATGAACTCCTTGAATGCTCAGTAAAGTCGGCTCAATATGCACCTAACAAAAAATAATTTCAATTTTCCTTTTTAATAAATTTAATTAATTATCATGTTTGATACAAGTTATGTAAGAAAAAAGCGAGACAAAGAATAGAAACTTCTCTTAGCTTGTTCATTGGCGATAGTTATCCAGCCATCTTGGGCCACAATGAATTGCGTCTTTGATTGGATTGTTTAATAGAAAAAATTTTCATATATAACTTGAATTGTCAAGAAAGGGTGTTGATCTTAGTTTTTTTATAGATCATCCTCGTGGTTAGTGTACATCTGCACCCAATAAAATTTTTTAAATTTTTGTACTACATGTAGCACATTTCTATCAATTGTTCTCCCTTGTATTTTCTTTCGTGTATTAACTCGGCGCGAACAGTTTAAAAATACGACCACGCCATAATTTCTTTCATGTATTAGCAGAATTATACTTGAAACTCGTATTTATAAATTATATCTACACGAATTTCCTATGTCACAACACCACAACAGTCACAGTCATAATAACCACAATCCAAATGCTACGGCAGCCAAAAACTTAAAGCACTGGTGGAAGCAGTTTACGGCTAAAAATGCACCTGTTAGAAAAGGTCCTGACGGAAAAGGGAAAGGTAAATATGAAAATGTTTCAGCATTCCTGATCTTTAAATCCATTCTCATTCTTTATCTATTAAAACTAGCTCATTTCTCACTGTTTGTCTTTGATGATACTTTTAAATAGGTGCTCGGGCAATATTTGGAGTTGAACTTGCAGATGCTATAGAACATGCAAGTGTGCCAATATGTATGGCAGGTCCAGACGGGCGACAATACGTATATGGGTACATACCAACAATAGTCGCTAAATGTGGAATGTTTTTAAAGCAAGAAGGTAATGACCGATGGAATAACGAATTATTACTATTATCTTCATCTTTTTATTGAAGTTCTTATCAATATGGAACAATAGAAGAATTTTTAATGCGAATATTTTTGAAATAGAGTTATCTTTTGTTTTCTCTTTTTTTTAAAAAAATTAATTTCGTCCCGTATTATAGTTTTTTGTTATTTATTTTTTATTTTACATTTTATATATTTTATTCTCACTTATTTATTCTTATCAATCTGTTTCAATGAAGCAATTACATCGGAAGGTATCTTTCGACTTAACGGATCTGCTAAACGGATAAAAGAATTGCAGGCAATTTTTGACGCTCCACCATCTTATGGCAAAACGTTGACATGGGTGGGTTATTCTGTACATGATGCAGCAAATATATTACGAAGATACTTGAACCATCTACCGGATCCAGTTATTCCACAAAAACGTTATGAAGAATTTAGATTGGTGATTGGTGATTATTTATTATTTGTTTATTACTTATTTAATTATTTTCACTACGATTATTTTCTCATTGCTATATACAATTTTCTAATCAAATATTTCTTATTATTAATAGTGAACTCAAACGACGCACATGACAGAGTACTATCATACCAAAAACTAATCAGCACACTACCAAAAGAAAATCAACATTTACTACTATACATACTAGATCTTCTCGCGGTATTCTCTTCAAAATCCGAACAGAATCTCATGACGTCGAAAAATCTTGCCTCAATATTTCAGCCGGGTATTTTGTCACACGAAAGTCATGATATGGCACCAGAACAGTATAAGTTGTCATCACAAGTTCTTGAGTTTTTAATCGATTGTCAGAATTTCTTTTTAATGGGATTGCCGCAACCACCGTATAATATCAACAATAATAATGCTTTCTATCAATCAACACCAAGCGTGAACACGATTTCTACCTCATCTAATTATGCTAGTGGTAGTGGTAGTAATAAGAAGAATAAGGATAAGAATAATAATAATAATCATAATAATAATAGTAATACTAGTAATAATAATAACAATATTAGTAGTAGTAGTAATAGTAATGATAATAATAATGGTAATAGTGAACTCATGTCACCTACTCTATCTCGGTCAAATACAATGATAGAACCACCAAATCTAAATAATCCTACGCCAGTACGAAAAAGCACACGGAGATCAAGTTTCAGTCTGGAAAGAAACGATAATGGTGATTTTGAACCTGTGTCTCCAGATTCACCTCGTCCGACTAACACCGACTTTAATAATAATAATGGTGTAGAACGTGCATCTACACTTGGCAGAAGTAAAACATTACCAAGTAATACGACAAAAAGACCTAAAATTCGACATGACCAGGGATCAGAGGGAGGAGGAAATGGTAATTAATAATTAATTATTATATTATCTTTTTATCTATAGTGTGTTGGTGGGTGGGTGGGTGGGAGGAGAGAGATGTGTATATAATATATACTTTACTATTACTGCAACTACTACTACTATGATAATCGACATTATTGATTAATATTTGGCGCAAAGTAATGTGTCCAACATACACGGGGAGAGAAATTGAGAACTTATAATAATAATCATCACCATCACCATCATAATAGTGATGATGATACTACTAGCAATAATATAATGTCGCGTGTAGGGTTTATTCGTTAATCGATTAATTAATTTATTTATTTATTTTATTTATATATATAAATTTTAATTTTGATTTCTACATTTCTTTTTTCTCTTTCTCTATATATTAACACATTTCTCTATATATTAACACATTTTTCTATACTATTGAATATTTATCTTAATTTCACTTGCCGACTTTAAACGCGTCTTACTTGGAAATTGTACATTATTGTTTGTTTCTATCATTATTCTATCATTATTCTTATTTATTTAATACCATCAAATAAAATTCATTGTATATCTATCCTCTTATTCTTATTCACTCTTATACACACACAACTTTATTTGCTAATGAATAAATTGTCGGCCTCGATCAATCAAAATCACAATTAATTAACAATGTCATTGAATGCTTTATACCACTACCACATTAATTAAATATCCGTTTAATATTTTTGTCCATCACATTGTTTTTGGTCTCTATTATTTATTATTATTCGAATTTTTTTATCATCATATTAAAAAAATAATTATAGGAACTTCAGCTAATAGAAGACACTCACAAAAACGAAACACGAAACGTTCGCCAATGACTTATCAATTATCTTCGGGATCCTTGATTTCAATGAATACCATAAGATCGGGAGATAGTCGAGCAACAGGTTCCGGCAGTAATAATGGTGGTGGTAATATTTATGGTTATAACAATGGTGGTGGTCATAGTTATGGTTATGGTTATAGTATTGGTAATGGTATTGGTTATAATCATAATAAATCGAAACCAACAAAACTTCGAAAGAAATCTTTATCTAAACAAATAAACCAGACATTGGAACAACGACAAGAGCAATGGCAACGGCATCAGCAACAGCTGCGGCTACAAATGCAACAGCAGCAACAACAGCAACAGCAACAACATCGTCGATTAAGGCATTATCCTAAATCTTCGGGAGGTATTCGTTTTGAGGCAGATGAATCTTTTTCCAGACCACATCCGAAAAGATCCAACTCCGCGTCTTCGCCTCCAGTGCTTCAACTAAGAACTACTTCATCGATGAATAATCTCGGAAGTAAAAATCGTGACATTATTAGTAATAATAATATTGAAGATCATCAATTCGCATCGACATCTTCATCGCCATCCGTAGTTGGCAGACGTCGCTCACGTCAAAAACGTCATCCCAAACCAGAATCGATTCATACATCACCATCCAATATTGTTGATGACCATAAAGAAAATGAGTCTGTATCACCCACTACAAATTCCAAACGTCGACGATCATATAATAATAAACAAAAGATCATTAATGATACACCACATCCTTCTACAATTTCCAACAACAACAACAACAACAACAACAATAATAATAATAATAATAACAACAATGATACTAGTTTATCGCAAAAAGGAATCTCAAATACCACCGATACAAACGTTATCAACAACATCAATCCTATCAGTTCCGTATCATCATCCACGATTAAAGGAAAAGAAATAACTACATTTTTTGTAGAATTACGTAAGAAAATTAGACTTGGTGGTATTAGTAATAGTGGATATGGTGGCGATAATAGTGGGGGGTGAAGAGAAACAAAAGTAGTAGAAATTCGACATGGATTTTTGGTGGTATAATAATATCTATTTTATACGTTGGATCTACACTTAGTCTAGAAGTTTTTTTAGTTTATAAATATCTCTTTTGTACAATATCCTTATTAATAATACTACGACTGATATTACAAATGCTTCTTAAAATGTATTATATATCCTCCAGAATATATAAATATTCACTCTCTTAACATATATATAAAAACACACTTTATTTTTAAGATGAAAAACCCTTATGTAGACTTTTCTTTTGAGATTAGAATTTTTAGGAGGAAGGACGCGCAGAGAGGATATAGTAACCAAAGAGATTTTTTCTTACTATTCAATTTCTTTATATACGAGTCCATCCCTCAACCAAACATTCTAAATTTTTTTCCTCTCAAGAGGAGATTTCATACTAAAATAGTAATGTTTTTTAAGCACAATAATCGACTGTTTACTACCATCCTCTTTAATTTAATAATGAAGTCCACATTTTTTCCCTATTCCCATCACCCTTCACTTCATCGATAAACAGTAAAAATATGTAGATTCTATAATAAAGTATTTCTTTTAACTAAAAATACTTTAAATAAAATCTTATAACTTAATAAATTTAACATTTACACAGGCAGATTTGCGTAATGGATTTAATTTACTATATAATTGATGAACAATTCTGTTTATCTGTTTATATGTATTATTAAATGCTTAATCCTAAAAGATTAAATTATTTCGCCTTTTTTAAAAATGATCACCTATAAAAGAAAACTATTTATATGGCTTTATTTCACTTCTATAGGCTAAATAATATTTCCTGCATTACTAATTATTAGCCAATGAAAAACAAAGATTGAATTCATTACGTGAATCACTTGAGTATGCGTAAAAGTTTAGCACATCAAATAGTAATAGAGTTTATAATTTCTTAAAGCAAAAAAATTATTTAAACATATTACTAGCAATACAATGTATTACAAAGTAACACCAATTATCTACTAATTCAATATACTTTTAAATAATTTTTCAAATATATATGATTATGCATTTAAAATTTTATATAAATATTTTTTATAATTTTATTATTTGTAATGAAAACAATTTTATGATGATCTTTTGGTTTTATTTCTACTTGTCAAAATCTGGATGCTAAATTAATAGTTAAAAAAGATTTTGCATTTTTGAATAAATCTAATAATTCCTTAATATATAATAATAAATATTGATTATACTTAGATATATTATTAAATTGATAATAATTTATACAAAATTGAAATTTTTCATTTTTTTTATAATAATAACTAGAGTTAATCAAGAACTTTCAGATGGTAATATAATATATTTTTTTGATATTTTTTTCTAGAAAGTTATTTTTCAATAATAATTTTTAATAATATAATTTCAATATAATAGAATAATTATCTTCTAAATAAATTTCATGTTGTTATGATTTGAACTTTTAGTATATTAATTATTATATATTTTATTAGATAATTCATATCATAATATTATTATATAATATTTATTAATATCTTATTGAATACTAGTTAGAAAAAATCTTATTTATTAATATTAAATGATAAGATAGTATTATTATTACAGTCAAACCTCTCTATAATCATGCCCATTTATAGTTACACCCCTCTATAGTCATTCTATTTTGCTTTTCCATTTACATATAAACATAGTAAAAAAAATCTTTCTATAGTCACATTCTCTCTATAGTCATCAAATTTTGCTTTCCCGAGGATGATAACTATAGAGAGATTTGACTGTATTTTAAATGAAGGATTTAATAAAAGAGTTATATAAATTGAAAAAAAAATAAACTAATAAATTGATTAATGCAAAAATAAATATCTAAGTCTATATCAATTTTGATAAAAATTATTAAATAATTCTATTAAAGAATAAGAAAAAAGATTGAAAAAGTGTGTTCAGAATATAATAAACTAATAAGAATTACTAATTAAAAACAAATAATATTGATATTTTTATACTTGTAGATTCTGATATAATTAATGGATAATTCAGAACTCTTCAAACTGCCAGTTGGAAAAGCTAAAGAACCAATAGTCAATCTTACTATTCTCTTAGAAGAATTATCTGTTAATGAATTAACATTTATACTTAATCCTATACTTGATGAAATTAAATTAGAAGATTTAATTAATCTGGAAAAACTATTTGAATCATTCATTATAATTGATGAATCAACAAATAACAACAATAAAAAAAGATCTTTATTTATATCAACTCAAAAAGAAAAAGAATTCATTAAAGAAATACTCCAAGAAAAACCTAAAAAAATCTTCTGATTCTGAAATTTGGAAATCACAACTCGAAAAAATGCTTAAACAAATATATACTGAAAAAATAGAGAATATTGAAAAAACAATTATTTATTACAAGATCAGAAAACTAATCAACAAGTTTCCAAAGAAATACAAACTTTAACAATATAAATTAAAAGGTAAACTTAGTGAATTTCTTGGAATATATATTGGAGAAAAACCTTTCACAATTGCTCAGAACACCTATAAAATATTTAATAATAAAGATCAAATTTAACAACAAAAGAATCCTCTAAATGTTATTCAAATTTGATAAATAAAGAAACATAAAATTAAAAAATTATGAAAGAATTTTTAAAATTTTGTGAAATAAAATAAATTTTCAAAGATAAAGCAAATGTTATGTTTATTTTCAAAAATTCCTTAATTTATGAATTTTTTAAAAATAGTAGAAAATATGAAAATCTCTAAAAATAATAACAAAATAACAAATCGATAAAAATAACTTATATATATTAATTATTTAGTTATTATATAATTATAATTATTTATTATTTTTAATTTAGCAATTTTTACTTTTTCTATCTTTATTTTCTATCTTTTTTATTTTTTTTACCTTTATTATCTACTTTTTTTATCTTTTCTATTTATCTTTTTTATCTTTTATATATTTCTTTTTATAATATTGTAATATAGATAGTATAGAAATATATTAAAAAATTTTGTATAAATAGGAGTACTATCTTTACACACTTTTTTTTATACTTCAAACAAATTAATCTTTAATATAATAAGTTAATAATTGTTTTATTATTATAAAATTAATATTTATTCTTGTATCTTCTTCTGTTGAATCAAGTTTTCTGGCAAAAATAATTTATTAATTGAACTTCAAATCTTGTAATTCAAGTTTCTTTTTATAAATCTTGAATGAGATCAAGAAACTGAATATTAATTTATATAGAATTGAATTTTTGACTATTATATTTTTGTCTTTAAATTTGAAAAAGACAGTTAAAATATTTTAGATAAATATTTTGATTTGCTATAGTATTATTTTTGTATAGTTATGTATTATAACTTTAAATAAGTGATATTATATAGTTGTGCACTACAACTTTAAATAAGTGATATTATATAGTTATGTATTACAATTCTAAATAAGTGATATTTCTTTTAGTAATTTATTTTCTTTAATATTGAAAGTACTAAAATATATAACTACAAGTATAGAAATATTAATATCTTTATTTTTAGTTAATAATCTCTATTAGTTAATTACCTTTTTGAATATTGTCACCGATTCAATATCGACTATAATTTTATATAAAGAACATGTGAACAAAAGATGTGACATGATAAAAATTAGTTATAATGATATTCAGACTACGTAATTGGTTTGATAATATTTTACTTCCTTCTATTTTTTTTTATTTTCTTCTTTTTCTTTTTCTTTTTCTTTCTCGTATTATCTATTTTTCTATATTTATCTTATTATTATCTTTATTTGAATATATTTATCACACTATTTTCTTGGCAAATTTCATCATTATCTATATTAGTTTAATCTTTATTTTCTATTTTTGTTATTGGTATTTAGATATAAACAAGATTATTAATTATGATGTAATTAAATTTCATGTAATTAGAAGAGAACCAATAATTTCATAGTATTAGTAAAGATTTACTGTGCCACATGCTGTGTTGCAACTGCGCCACGCTGTGCCATACTGCGTCATACTGTGCCATATTGTACTACTATAACATGAAAACATGTATAAATACAAGTGCTGATAATTAATAAAAATCAAGTTCTCAAGTTCATATTTTAAGTTCTCTGGTTCATATTTTAAGTTCTCTTAGTTTAATTTTAAGTTCTCTTAGTTTAATTTAAGTTCTTAAGTTTTGGTTTTGAGTTTCTTTTGGTTTAATGTCGAGTTTGACATGTTAAATTGATTTTATTTTGGAATTTTAAGTACTTTTTGGTTAAGTTTACCTTTAGTTTAGTTTTGTTATTAGTTTAATCTTATTTTTGTTATCTTTTACCTTGTCAAGAAACATCATTTATCATCATAAACACTATTTAGTTATAATATTCAAAGTAAATTGCCATGAACACAGTCACTATTGCCATTTTGAAATACTTTCATATACAAAAGCTCAAAACGGTAACAATATACTTTCTCAACCTCTCTTAACAATTTTTGTCTAACAATTTTGTCAAAATTGACACAGATTTAGATACTTATTTTTGCACTGACCAATTTTTGTTAGTCTATTTTTCTTCTAATTCATATAACTTTCTTATCAAAAGTAAAAAAACCCTTCATTTAAAGTAATTATAGCAATATCATATCTTTTAATATTTTGTTGAATTGTATTTTTTATGTATTTGTTTTATAATTATTTTTGTTCTGTAGTTTTTATAGCAAATAGAACTTTTTGTATATTTAAAATTTAAATATACTATTATTTAATAAGTATTGTGAATTTCAGTCAGAATAAGAAATTGTAATATTAGGATCAATTTGAGTTATTGTTTATGTTAATTTGTTATAATATTAATTATGTAAAAGTATATAGTTTTTTTGATATGTTCTGCAAATTCTGATAAGTTAAATTACAATTTTGAGCTTTTTGCTATTGATATTTGCAGATTTCGATGGCTAAGTATTTTGGTAAATGATTTTTTTTGGAATGTTG